TTCAGCCTCCTTGATATATGGAACTGGTGACTTCATCCTGCACTATCCTTGAAGCCTTAGATGTTCCAAAAGGACATATGGTTGCGATTTCTAGAAGCTCCCACCTTCAATGGACCTATCCCTGACCATCAGTTGTACATTCGCAACGCCACTTTCATGAAGCGCGCCAACAGTGATACTGACCAAAACCATCTACATTCATATCTTTTAAATTATCAACCCAGCTGATTAATTTACTACAGTGGGTATTGTAACATTTGTAAAAATTTGGTCTTGTCTGTAAACTGGCATGCCTCATGTAACAAACTGTTATTTGAGAATAAATTATTATTATTACGACGAACAATTCCTGAACATTAATAATCCAATAAGTGTTTGAAATTAGATTTAAGTGCTGCTAGTTTCAGTGGGTATTAGTGCGTGATTTCGCTCTGACGAAGATTCACAAAACGTCCTAGTGAACCACCACTGAAACAACATGTTCGTCTCATTTCACTTATTTTTCTCACTATCCGCCCACGAATATACTACTCCCTCATAATAACGCCGGCACTTTATGATAAATCTGTTTGATTCATGCACACATCCTGATTTTACTGACAAAAATTAAACTCCCAGTCTGTTTTCCACACTTATCTAGGTCTAGAGGGATCACATATGAAAAGCTCAGTTATTTGTTTTGGTTTTCACCTCGAAGTTTTTCACCGAATCCTTTTGATCCTATGATCCCATATTTTCCCCATAAACGACATCAGTCTTATTTGAGCAAAAATATCTTCACATAACCCGAGATAATAACGTGTCACCACACTAATATCAATTGTGTATTCGACCCCAAATAATTTTCACCGCAAATTTTAATTTTAACCATACCAATTGAAGCCTGATTAAATTTGTGTGTTTGCGTGATGACTATGGTTTTTGTCATTTTTAGGACCTCCTTGATATTCCAAAATCACTTCGGCTTTTTTCACCATTCGCTAAATTCAAGGCTTATTATTACCATCCCAACTTGTAATAAGACTTTTTACATTCCTTACAATTTATTCAGTCATCCTAAGTATTGTCAAGTTATTAGATGCTCACTTCACAATGAAAACCGGCGTTGACCTAATGGTTATGCTGCACAAAAACAATATTTGGGATCCTTCTTCCACTGCTATCAGAGTTTTGTTGTTAGGCAAATTGAGTGCTACTCATAGCGATTTTCCTCTATTGATCCTATTATTATATGGTGTTTTATTCCTTTAGTTGCTGAGGTGTGGGTCAAATTGGTACTTGTCTATGATATACCCACGTAATAACGTTGTTACATATCGAAAGTCGAAAAGTCAAATAAGGTGACGCTTTTTCCCATCATAAACAGATCTTATCCATAATATTTTCTAAAACTATGTGGATACATGTCTCTCAATGGATAGTTTCAAGAGGAGGCCTCATTGTTGCTTACAAATTGCCATCTTTCTTCAGGAATGGCCGTTTGGCAATTGTCCCACAAATTACCTATTACTAACACGACTACCATTTCTAAAATTATAGTAATCAGTCTGACGAGCGCAACTGCATGGAAGACTTAAAAATGACAGCGGAAAATGTTTCAAGAGGAGGAAATATGAGACAACTTTATGACACAACGAAGAAACTAGCAGGGAAATATAGTAAACCAGAGAGAACAGTCAAATACAAAGAAGGCAAAACAATCACCAAGATTCAAGAACAGAGGAACAAATGGGTTGAATAATTCGAAGAATTCTTTAATAGACCAGTTTCACTGAACTCATTGGATATTGAGGCAGCACACACAGACATTCCTATAGATGTCACTACACTAATAACGGAAGAAATTAGCATAACTATTAGACAAATCAAGGGTGGAAAAGCAGCAGGACCTGACAATATGCCAGCCTGAACACCAATGTCAGACATAGAAGTAACTGTAAACATGCTTCACAATCTACTTAGGAAGATATGGGAGGGAAAACAAATGCTGATGGATTGGAAAATGATGTCTCATTAAGATACCACAGAAAGATGATCTGAGAAAATGTGAGGACAACAAAGGAATCACAGTACTGTCAGTCCCAGGATAAGTTTTCAACAGTGTTACTGGACCGGGTGAAAAATTCAGTGGACGTCCAGCTTCGAGATCAACAGGCTGGATTCCGTAAGGACTGGTCGAGTAATCGACTGAAAGAAATCCATCACTATACATTAACGCCATCGATCATAAGAAAGCATTTGGATAGAAGAACCTTATGGAAACTTCTTCGACACTACGGAGTACCTGAGAAAATAGTCAACGTGATATGAAATACATACGACGGACTACAGTGAAAGGTCGTGCATGGAGGACAGCTGACAAACGCATTCCGAGCGAGGAACAAGGTCAGAAGAGACTGCTTATTATCCCTATTGTTCTTCCTCTTGGTGGTTGGCTGGATTGTGAAGACCTCCACATCTGATGGGAAGCATGGAATAAATTTGACAGGTTGTATGCAAGTAGAAGATTTTGACTTTGCAGACGATCTGGCTCTTCTATCCCATACGCGTGAACAAACGCCATTGTAGATAAACAGTGTTGCAACAACCTTTGCACCAGTAGGCCTCAACATACGGCACGGGAAAACAAAGATCCTCAAGTACAACACAAAGAACACTAAACTAATCATACTTGATGGAGGAACCCTGTGAGAGGTGGAAACTTTCACATATCCGAACAGCATCATCGGTGAGCAAGGCGGATCTAATGCACATGTAAATGCGAGGATTGGCAAAGCAAGGAAAGAATTCCCACAATTGAAGAACACATGCGACTAAAAACAACCGACAGTCAATATTAAAGTCAGAATCTTCAATACGAACGTCAAGATAGTTCTACTGTTGGGAGCTGAAACTCTGAGAACTACTACTGTAGCGTGTGCTAGTGATGCTGACAGATACAAGTAGTATGTTCCATCAGCAGAAAACGAAATTTCTGGCGGCAGAATGTTAAGAAGATCGATGAAAAGGATCGAGGACAGAAAATGATTAGTATGGAAACAGAAGAACAATTAAGTATGGGACGATTAACATTTTGCAAATGAATTGTTTATTGTATGATTCTCAGGTTTTTTCAAGAGTTTATATGATTTTGTATCCTAATACATTTGTTTGTCTCCGCTTGTGTTCCCATTCACTACACTACAACCATCGTGAAAAACGTACAAGTACTTATAAACATTTAGGTACACAAGAGAGTCAATGTCCGTTGACCGGACACCATCAGCAACAACCTAACGTTGGAGAGAACAAGCCACTTTTCAACTAAAAAATTTGGAAAAAGACTCTGGAGATGAATGCGACATGCTTTGAGGAAATCACCAAACTGCACCAGGCGACAGATAACTTGTAAACCGAAAAGAGGAAAATCGAAGAGCACACTGCTACGGGAATCGGAAGCATATATCAAAAAGATGAATAGAAAATAGAGAATATTAGAAATGACTATCCAGGACAGAGTTCTGGTGGGCGGCCTATGCTCCTCGACGAGAGATAATAGACATCAGAAAGTTTCCATCTTGCCATTTGTCATCCCCATTTACCTACTCTTTTTACTCGCTCGTCTGTATTGTTCGCATGATTAATTCATCGAATCTTCTTGTTCTCTGCCATCTGCCCATCTGCACGTTAAATCTATAACTATTGTATTGCAGTTGACCAATCTTCTGCCTAGTGGTGAGATGGCTGTTTGTTCAGGGAAGTATGTTGGTCTATAATGGGCTCACTAATTTATACTCACGATATACAGAACCGAAATTCCGCCAAATTCATTGGTAGTGGTGCTTCCGATTGGCTAGCCTGAAGTTATCAAAAATTCAGAGTTGTTCTGACACTGAGCTACCTGTCGTCCAGACATATAATGACTCAGGAGCCATCGTTAGTCAAATCTTAAAGATTACTGCACACTGCCGTGCAATAGCCGCCGAATGTTTTTAAACCTTGTGGTCAATACGTAGGGCTTTTAGTCATGTGGACGCTAAGACGCTTTTGACTTTGTATACAGTGTTCGTTCGTCCTAAACTTGAGTACTGCATACAAGCGGCTAGCCCCTGCTTAAAAAAGACAGTGAGCTTCTGGAAAAGGTTCAGAAAACGGCAACTAAGCTGATTCCCGGAATAGCGAAGCTTACGTATGGAGTTCGACTGACCAAGCTGAACCTTTACCCGTTGTCATATCGCAGAACTAGAGGCGACTTGATTACAGTTTTCAAATTGCTTAGTGATAAATTTGCACCTGATACGCCCTCATTTTTCTTGTCTTCCAAAACAGAGAATTTACGAGGACACTTCAAAAAAGTTCATAAGCCGATAACAAATTACTTGCCAGATGACTATCGACTTTCCCATCGAATCATCAACGCGTGGAATTCACTACCTCAGCACGTGATTGAGGCTCCATCCGTCGACGTTTTCAAAAGGAAGTTGGATCAACTGAGAGACCACTATTGCCAGGACTAACATAGGCCATCGAGCCTCCTGTCCTTCCTAAACTGAAACTGAAACTAAGAATGGAGAGCAATGAAGAAACAACTTTACGCTAACGAACTTCGCGAAATGGTGTATTTCATTAGTCTAGAAGCTATTTAACATTACCAAATACCTAGAGTCTTACCGACACAACATGAAAACGATGAAAAGAAATAAAGCTCTACACAAAGACATTGGGTATATTGAATATTAGGGAGGACATTTGACAGGTCTAGGTCATTTGTACTGTCGCAGGTTGGCCTTACTGAATGTCGAGTCATAGTAGTTCCGCTCTGTATACCACCATTTGATCAGAAGATTGCTGGCTTTGATTTTTTTATCAAATACCCAACTATAACACTAACTCATACGTTAAACGTGACTGCGCAGATATTGGGTCGTGTTTTTAGGAATATTACAGTATTGGTCACATACTTTAAACTAAACTGAGAATGTCTTATGCATATCTGTTCAAATACATCATTATTGGGGACACTGGTATGTTGTGTACGTGGATATTACCTCGTTAGCTGTTGGTAAATCGTGCTTGCTTCTCCAATTTACGGACCAACGGTTCCAGCCTGTATATGACTTAACGATTGGGGTAGAGTTTGGCGCCCGAATGGTGAATATTGGTGACAAGCAAATAAAGCTTCAAGTCTGGGACACGGTTAGTTTTCTTTTGAAGCCACACTTATCCGAGCTTTTGATATGTAATCAATCTCTTCTCATTCAGAAACTGAAACAAAATTACAACCTAAAATTTCTCGTTTTAGGTCTTAGCAAGTGCTAGTAGTCTGAATAACGCCCTTGTGATATGCAGCACCTACAAAACTTTATCACAACATTAATTTTATTGTAAAGAATTTTGGCTAAATTCAGGCATTAATGACAGCTCTAATCCTATTAAAATATTTTTCGTGTAAACATGTCAGCTCCAAAACTGGTATTTATGTAATGTTAGGTGGGTCGTGGGACTTTATCTAGCTGACTAGCTTTACATAAATAAGTTAATCACCAATATCTCTGTATACAGGTCTTAATTTATTTTATTTATTTATTTATTTGAACACAAATATTGATACAAAGAGGCACGGAATACATATGCACCACACAAGTCACTTGATTTATGTGTGGGCTATAATACTACCCAAACCGAAGTAAGTGGTTTTCGTAGGAGGTCACACCCTAGCCCTCGACCTGAAGGTTTGATCCACAACGCAGTGGAACAACGTCAGGAGATGCAGTCTCATAGTAGCTGGTGACTAACAATAGGTTCATACGCCATTTGTCCCCACAGGATAGTGAAGCCCATGTGCACCACTGGTCTGGAGTCAGGGTTTCCCAACTACTCTAGATGGACCATCCACGTCCATTAAACCCGGTTGAAGCGCCGGACATTCGCTTTTCAGTCTTCAGCAATAGGGACAAAAGGTCTATCGACCTCTATTAATCCTTCCAGTTTGTCACACTGTGGAGGTCCAATCTCGTTTCAAATATATCAACAGAAGGTGCTGGTATTACGTGTTCCGGTAGAGAATTCCAGTAATTTACTACTCGGTGCGAGAAACGAAACTCCAGATGTAAACGATTTGATCTCGGTTTTTGGACTTTGAAGTTGGAAAAAGTGAGATTAGACTCATTGTATTGTGCCTTCCCACGGAAATCTTTAGTAAAGGGCTAAAGGTTTATCCGCAAATGAGTAGACACTAGAGTCCTTTCAATTTCGTAATCACCACCGCCTCGAGAGGGCAATGAGTAGGATTTCCCTGGCAGTGGCTGCATACACTTGACCATGTGAGCATTTCGAGAGGGAGAGTTGACTCTCCTCACCCTCGGTCGTAGCAGGGCATTTTAGAATAACTATACGTCTAAAATATGAGCTTCAGTAGGTCAATACTGTAGTCTATTTTGTGGTTCTTTATGATTTAGTAAAACCGCAATTTACAGGGAAAATAATTTGTGAATAGCTTGAGACTGTTTGTTTAAAGTGTTCATGACAAGGGACTACCACTTTTCATCCTAATCGACTAATTACATTTGCTTGTTTAACATGAGGCCTGCTGTCCACTTTTGACTGTATTTTCATTAGCGTTCAGTATCTGATACCGGTGGTATTTCTCTTTTTATGTAGCATTAGGCGTACGGCATTATATCTATTGTACTAATTGATACTGGTTGACTCAACCTTATTCTCGTCTCAATATCAACCTCGAATAATGTATATTTTATAAATGCCGAACTGTGATTATGAAATATCTTGGGTTTGGAACACTACCTTGTGTCCCTAAATAGTGCACTGTACTTAAATATTGTATACAACAAATAGATTTCAACTGAAGTTAACTACTGATAGGAATTGATTTTGAGATCATTCCATATCAATTAGTTACTTTCTACAACAAAATTTCTGTAGTAGTTCACATTCGCAAACAGTCTATTACTGTATATGCTTCCTAACGACTGTCTTCGAAGTAAATTTAGTGGCTTATACTAGGGCATTAGTGTCGTGTTGGTAATAATTGCTTAAGTAAAGATTAATTATTTGCCTGAATATGCCCTCAGTAATCTATATTTAAATTTAATTAGCCGTCTATCTAAATTTCTACCTAATCACACTATTCAATAAACTCTTCAGTTCATCTTCACTACATTTTACTTATTACTGTTACTTTAATTCTTGTGCAGGCTGGACAAGAAAGTTTTCGTTCCATAACCAGATCGTATTATCGGGGTGCGGCAGGTGCTCTTCTTGTTTACGATGTTACCAGGTTTGTTATGGAATCTTTGATTTTTTAATTTCTTCACTTCACTAACTTATTGTGGATATTAATTGAAAGCATTAACTGCACTAATTTTGATACATGTTCTTCCTTTATATCGACTCAGTATGGAGAACTAGAGCGTTCTAGGCACCTAAACATCACTAAATATTAAAGCTTATTATTTTCTTAGCTAGATTTGTAAATGGCAGTTTCTTAGCTGCCATGTTTCTTAGCTGTTGTTACAGTTTAGTAGACACTTGAGTTTGGGTACTTATCAGGTTTACTTAGCTATACAGGCCATCGTTAATACACCATAATCGATCAGAAATAAAACGATTAGTGATGCCTAATTGAATTTAAATGTTACCAAAATGATCAAATAAACTTGGATTCAACTCAACAGACTTATTAAAAGTTATTCTTACTTTAATTATTTCTACTTGAGCCAAGCTAACCGTTTGTAAGTTCACCTCAATAATTATAGTAATTCAGACACAAGAAAGATAAATAATTGTAACACTTCATTGAAGTTTTCAGGTTACAGCTTGTGGTTTCCGCTTGATGTAACTCATATATCAAGTAAGTTTTTAAGTACATCATTGGCCACCACGTGATATTACCTGATTGTTCAAACCAAAGTAGATGAAATGCGGTTTGGACCTGCAACTAAACTTTCACCACGAAACCACTACCCCATTACTTGATACCACCAAGTCTATTAATAAACTCGACAGAATTGTACTTTGACATGTACATCTTCATTTTGTCAATCAACGTTGCATAATTTCGAGGCCTATGAAAGTCAATTTATTGGGAAAACTGGTTGTTTCATAATCTTCACTTTAATTATTAGTCATAATCTAATATGTTAAATAACTTTACTTTTCTCTACAGTATTTCGTAAAACCAATCGATCATATTTTATATTGATTTTATTCTTTCAATTATTAACGTTAATTAGGCGTGATACGTTCAACCATTTGGCATCCTGGTTGCAAGATGCTCGGCAGCATGCAAGCCCAAATATGGTTATTACATTGGTTGGAAATAAGTGTGATTTGGATGCGAGGCGAGAGGTTAAACAGGAAGAAGCTGAAACATTCGCTCGTGAGAATAATTTATTATTCCTAGAAACATCAGCTAAAACCGGAGTAAATGTAGAACAAGCCTTTGCCACTACCGCACGCGCTATCTATGAACGTTTACAACTAGGTCTTTTAGATATCAATAATGATGTAGGTGTCTGTTGTTTCGAAAGAAAGTTTCCGTTTTCATTACCTTATTTAGGTTTGTACAAAAATACTTTATTCATTAGTTTTAACCGTTATAAAAATAATCAATTAATTCGTCTTGATCGGTTATAATTAGACATGGTCTGTTATATGAAAGCAGTCTTCCTTAAACCTGTGATTATTCAGAGGTTGGTATTTTGACGTAAGTTTTCTCGACCCTCAAGTATTCTACTGTGAAGTAGAACGAGAGTTAAATTTTAAGTAAATGGACCATCTGAAAAAATTACAAATACTTTCTTGTTTTATTTTTATCTCAACAACGTAGCACTTATCATGAAAATTTCATATCTTAGTCTCCATATCACCGGGCTTTGCTAAGTCCGCTTGAAATTCCTTGGAGGTCATTCCCAAAGAGTTAAGAACTGAAAGGGCTTTTGTGTGACAAATATTAGAAATACCACCCAACTGCTTAAACCAAAATATGTGAAGGAGAGTTGAAACCTGCCGCATCATTTTTGAAGATCAACGTTCTAGAAACTTGTCTTTCATACTCAAATTTTCTTACTCTTTAATGCATATGCTAATCCTTCCAAAAATGACACGCCCACGGATCAGTTATTATCTTGACTTTCAAATTTCAAAAAAGTTAATCCTTTGTGAATTAATTTCATAGTGCCGTTGAATTTATGTCGAACAATTTCGTGAAAACCAGAAGTTTCCAAATATCTCCACACTACATACTTAGACCTATTACATCTTTTGGGCATAGCTTACTGACCAGAAAGCTCCAACAAACCCAGTCACGACCTTTTCTTTTTAGTTGTTGCCGAGTATTGTTTATGGTCCTGACGTCTACCTTCGATCCTCGACGCTATGTTTTTGTTTACCTCTTTTCCATTTCCCTTAACGACTCGAAGTTAGGGTTCGCCTTATGATGGGGGCTAATGGTTTCCTCAAAGTGTATCCAGTTCACCTCCAGTGTCGTTTACTGATTCCCTTAACTGGTAGCTGGACTGTTCTCTGACAGAGTAGGTTATTCGTGATGGTCTCTGACCAACGAATCTCTTAAGCATTTTACGCAGACAGCTGTTTATAAATATCTGCACATTTTAGGTTGTGGGTGTGGTAGTTCTTCACATCCCGGCTCCGTACAATAGAACTGTTCAACATTAGTGTTGAAAATGCTGACTTTGACCTTGTGTAAAGGAACCATTGAGTCTCAGGCATTTTTCAGTTGTAAGGATGTTGCTCTTTCCTTTTCAGTTCAAACCCTCACACCTGCATCAGATTCTTCTTGTTTGTCGATAAGACTGTACAGGTACGTGAAGGCTCTCACGTCTTCCAGTGACTCCAACACAGGTGAGTCAGGTGGTGCTCACCGCGTCATTTTACAGGATCTCTTTTCTTCCTTTGTGATTGTTGACATCTGGTACTGAAGAAGCCGCTGATACACTAGCTGTCTTCATTTGCATTTGTTGTCATTATGCAGTGGAAAAGCTAAGTGGTCTGCAAAGTGCAAATAATCTATTTGGGTTCACTATGTCCACCGCATTTAGTGTTTTCTCTTGTCTCCTAAGTAGTGGAGGTCTTCACAATCCAGTCAACAACCTTCAGAAAGAGGAGAGACAATAGGAATCATCTTTGTCTAACACCAGTCTTCAATTGGAATACAGTCAGTTAGTCAGTCAAAAAAAACGTAGAACCTGGTACGTCCGTACGTAGGTTTGGGTTGCCTCACCGAGTTAGCACAACGAAATGGAGTTGTTAGTTTAAATCACAGAATATGAGAAGTTGTAACAGTATTAGTGGTAATTGAAAAGACCGGGAAACGAAGATTTTACTCAAGGAATTATAAATTAGTCAAATAAAAAGTAAATTATGAGAAACGCAGAAGCTTGGAAATTGTGGGAAGATAAAGAATGGATGCGCCTGGACAATTGCAAACGATTTTGTTTCCTGTCATTCACAGTCCCCAACCAGGTAAACTACACTTGTTAACACGACTCAATACACTTTTTAGTTACTTGACGTACTCTCTGAGCTCGTCAGCACCTTTAAGGGATGGGATATCAGATCTTCGCAATGCTACTTATCCAACTATACAGTGTTTCTTCAACTTCAGTTTGAGCTTGACCATCACCACGTGGTAATGTGAGGCAAAAACTGTTCCTCTCTCTCTGTTCGTACATCTCACATGCACCTTGTAAATATTTTATTGACGCAGATGTGGTTAGTCTCGTTTCTTGTAGTGTGTTCTTGTGATTCCTGTGTAGCTTTGTGTATGGGATTGTCGGGAGAAATACTGTGGTCTATAGTCACCATGTTGTTGATAGCACATAGATTCTCCAGTCGCACTCCATTCTCGTTACCCTCTCGTGGTCTATGTCGTCACATAATGCGTTAGTATCCGGTACTGTCTGTCCCGAATTCGATGTCGATGTCTCACATCAGGATGATCAACATTTTTCTTGAAGATTTGTTCAGGGTGAGTTGGAGTACTTCGTCAAACTGGTGTTTAAGATGTTCTCTGTGGTGACTGGTAAGTTCGTTGCAGAGGATAGCGTCGATTGTAGTGCTTGGTTTCTTTGTCTTGAGTGATGCTTAAATGGTCCTGAGCCTTGTGTTTGTTTGTGTTACATAAGCGCTTATCCTGGTTCTTTAGATAACGTGAGTGCGACTCCTTGTATGTATTGAATATTTCTGTTTCTGAACGAAATACAATGAGTGGTCTCTCGAAGTTATTGTTTTTGTTGAGATAGTGTTTAGTGTGTTTTACTTATTGCAAACACATTCAGGTTGCGTCTGCTGATTTCCTCTGTTACTCGAATGGTTGTCCCAATCCCTACCAGTTCTCGATATTCCATGTGCGTGTATTAATTGTCGGTTTTGGTTTTGCCGGAGGAGATATGGTGCTGGTGATTCCCGAAGAATTTTGGCTTTCGTCATGAGTCGTGAATCACTGTTCTATAGGATAGTTCTTGAACTTCCATAATAGAGTTAAGTGGGCTGATTAGTGTATTTTCGCCAGGTGGGGTTGTTGAGGTTGCACACAGCCTTTCTCCTTTTCCTATGTGTGGGATGGTCAGCAATTAAAGGATGGTTTAGGCGTAGTCAAATGTCATTTCGATCTCTGCGATGATTTTAAGTTTAGTTTTTGAAAGTAACGTCTTCTATATACTCCGATCCTAACTTCTACTATTTATTCAAATATTGGCTAATATCTGTATGAATCAATTGCCATGATTTGTTTATTTATAATATTGAAGTAACTATCAAGTCGACCGATTTGTGAATGAATATACACAAGTATTTATTCCATTAGTTTTTAATACCATACATCATAAGTTAACATTCGTATCACTGACATCAAGTTTTATCAAGATGACCCATTTAATTTTTTACAATAAATATAGCCTGGCCTTGTTTATTGTTAAATAACTGGTGTGTGTTTATATAGAACTCATTTTAATAATGTCATTCACATTTGAAGTGCATAGGTTGTTAGCTGTTTTTCGCATAGTATAGCGAAACGGTTTATAGTTGTTAGTTCTTACTGATAGGGTATGAACTGTTTGCACAAAAGACTAGGAGATCTTAGTACTAAATCGAAGCTGTCCATTCGGTATTTATGAAGTTAGTAATGGCCCTATCAAAGTAGATGAAATATGCTTGAATCTGTCACATTATTGTATTCTGAAGATAACAAGAAACTGTATCCTAATATTTTTAGAATAAAGTATTTCAGTGGAAGTGTCTGAAAGACTGTCATCCGGTAATGTCTGTCAATTGTACCGTTGATTTCTCCTGTTACTCTTTTTATTGATCTACTTGGTTATATCGCTGAGCAATAAATGTTTTGTATATAATTCCATATGTGCTTCTTTTATAGTTTCTTTTTTTAATAACTGCTACTTTCGTGAATTTACCTCAAATTCGGGTATTATTTCTAGGTGCGATCAATATATATATTAATAATTTTGGGTGCATAACTATTTTCACGATGTCCTCGTTGAGACAAATAAGGTTGTTTGAATATTAAGCTTTTAAAACGTTTTATAATATGTACATGAACACGAAACACCAACGATTAGCGAGCGAGCTATGAATCCCCACTTACTTTACTAGATCTCTCCAGTTATAGGCAACCTAAGATATTAGGTTGTTTGCATGAAAAAGTACCCATGTTCTTGTGAATTGAACGTAAGTTGTTATTGCCTAGTGTTCATACTAAGTAAATCCATTTCAACACCTAGTTTATTGGGTACAGGATTCGTTGAAAGGTAGCTGGTTCTTTTGAGTCATCAAAATATAATCATCGGAACTGATTCAAACCCATTTTGGTCTTGAACTCCAAAAGCCTTTTTAATAAGTAACGTACTCTCACTTCCAGTTATGTATCAGTTCAACCCACTTTGTTTAAATAATTGGCACCACTAACTTTTGCAAAATTTTTTACCGACAAATAGTGAATACACTGGTAATCCTGTATTCACACTCGTTAAGAAGTCGATACAGTACACCTTAATCTGTTTGTCTTCTTTCATGCACTTGTTAAGTGAAGAACTTATTAAAAACAATCGAATACTTGTATGGTTGGTCAAAATGTCCTCATAAATATCCATTAGCTGTAATACTTAAGGCAACTAACATTCTATAAATATTTAGTTGATATATAGTATTTTTTATGATAACTTTTCTCTGACTCAATTATTCAAAGCTTTTTTCATACATATTTATCACCACAGTTGGTGTTATCAATTAATTGCAGCAAAACTTTTTCATTCATAGCTGCATAACTAGTTTCTTTGCTTGTCGGTTTCCGATAAGACACTATTTTTTCCCACGTATAAGAATAGTTTTCAATTTTGATGATTGTCGATTATAAGTAGACTATTAATTTTGTTTAACAATCTAACTGTAACTAGCTAACTAACTTTTATTTCTAAAAATTTTTTCTTATCCCGTTTTATGGCCAGATATATCTCTGTACTCGCCTAACAATCTACATTTTTTTGTAACTTAGGCAAATGGCATAAAGTTAGGTCCTCAACAATTAAGTACTCGACAAAGTGGTTCCTACGGTCCGGTTGGCTCAGATTCGGGAGGTAATCTAAGAAGACGTTGTTGTTAGCTCATACCAAAGAGAGATTAGTTTATGGAAAGATAATAAAAGTTATAACTGCGATTAATTATTTTTATGTTTTATGTTAACCTTTCTATGATTCTCATTCACTATTTTACTTCATTTATTTTGCTCTTTTTATGTACTTTTTAATTTCATGTGCTTTATGTGTACCCCCATTGTTTTGAATGAATACTTTTATTGTCTATTTTTCTGTAAGTTGTTGTTCAACAACTTCCCTGTACTTTATTTTTCTTGTTTTGATCTTATTCACTATTCTCAATCAGTCGGCTGTCTATATTATATCTATAAATAAGTTTTAAAAAAAGGCAGATATTTATTGATTCCAAATGAAAATCCAAATTCCAATCATGCAACATTACTGTTATAAAATATCTATAAAAATGATACATGCTGTGAAAACATATTCATTCATTTCTTCTCCAAGAAACAAGAGATTTTCCATCTTGTGTTCGCATTATTTAATTTTACTGTCGTTACTCGTTTACTTTATTTTCATATTGTGTTTGTGTATCCCGATGTACGGAAATATATTTCCTGTATCTTCTTTTATAGATGGTTATGTGAAGCAAAATTAATTGCTTTGTGTCGAATTTTCACTACACTCGCCTTTGTTGTTGTATTCTTGTTTATTTAACCGTTGAATACCTAGTAATCATCATTTTATTAAAATGTGTTCAAGCGTGTATAGAAATTTCTATCGTAACTGACAGGTTCTTTTTATAAATATTCTTTTTGTCAGATATCAGAATAAACCTTATTACTCGTCTAATTCTTCTCATGATGTAGTCATTTTAACTTGTACTTTATGTCAGATGATCTTTGATTGATAAAGATGCTCTAAAGAATTTTTCTTGTCAAGCCGTATGTATAACATTCACGTCTATCACTAGAGTATGCTTCCGTAAGCCAGATTTATTTGCAATTATTTGGGACACATTTTGAGCATTGATATTATGTTTGCTTTCTAGTACTCTTATCCTATTGATACGATTTGATAACAATATAAAATTAGGTAATATTAGTCAGAATGTTCTTCTGAGTGATTGGGGACGTTAGATAACACGTCTTAACTGCCATTACACCTCCATGAATGCATAATTTTAGGTAGTGGAAGTTATTTTCACGATTTATCTAAACAAATATTACAAGTTCTCCATGAAGTTTCGTCTTATTATTCAAACTCCATGATTTTAAATATAGTTAGATGAATTATTCTACTGTTAATAATTGTTTTATTTAAACCGACTCATTAGTAATGTATGTAACCTGTAGACATTCTGATTTACATTTCAAGTATAAATTCTTATACGACAAAGCTAATGCTTCTATGATGATTCTTCAAATGTAATATATATCATAATTGTCATATTTGGTTGTACGATTCAGTTGAACTATCTAGTCAATTTAGCTTATTATGTTACTATGCTAAAGAGACGTGTTTTACGATAGTAAAGTCATCGCCAATATGATATTCCTAATAGTGATATAAAATGGTTGATTTTTCTCAGATAAGAACTTGGTTATATGACAAGTAGAAACAACCACAACAACTAGAGGATTGAATTAATACTAAATTTTTCTAATGACTCTTAAGTGCTTTTATTTGCATTTCACAAAGTCAACAAGCAAACAGTTTGATTTCCTGTCAAGTTGGTTTTATCTTTGTTAGTTAAAACAAGTTATGTTTAACATCTGATAAGTCTTGTTGTAAACCTAGCAGTTACTCTAATGAGTGCATGTATACGTTTCAATTGTAAAATAAATATCAATAGGCAAGAAGAATATAGTATTTGAAATTTATGTCCTGCGGTCTACTGCATCTTTTCTGTCCTCACTACTTGACTAGTTTATAAAGTATGAAGACTTTTATGACAGTTATAAACTATAATTTACCTGTTCGTCGAAATTTAGACACAAGAGATGAATGCCGACATGGCTGTTTGGAATTTTTCGTTGCCTGGCAGCTCAGTAAAACAATAGGTATCTTTACAAAATCGTTTGTTTTTCAGAACGTCTACCAATTTTTTTTGCATACGCCAACAAAACATTTAAAACTATCTACCTTGTGTATGCCTTTGACTTATACAGTGTTCATAGGTCTATGCCGATGTCATTTGATCCAGCTTAAGCAGCTGGACAGCAACTATAACTCACAGAGTATGTATATTTGTACATTTTTGAGTCACACCTTATGCACCATTAAACGGTTTGCGTGACTCACATTATATATATAGCCAGGTTATTTATCGACGGACATGCCTCGACCTATAAGAGAGCACCTACTGGGACGGTAGTAAAAAATAACTCAGGAGTATAGATTTATCTATTTTGAAGTTGATAACGACTATTCAGATTGAAGAAATAATTTATTACTGCTTTTTCATAAGCATGTGCATATTTTGGTTTTGGGCCAGAAGCTTCAATAAAGCATTAAATCAGTCTAAAGAGTGGTATGGTCCTTGATTGACATACTAATCACAGTACTATGTATTGGTAATGTAAGCAAACAGAAACTAATTGGGATTTCTTCACATATCGACCAGTAGTATATGTCATGCATATGTTTGCTGGAATTAATATTGTTAATAATATCATAGCTTACACTATTCGTTCCAAAAATTTTAGTTTTTAAAACTACAAAAGATGTCATATTTAGACACTTTCTGAATGAATCCTATCTCGGACAACTTGTCATGATAACGATTGCCTTATAGAGATTTTCACGTGTTAACAGTAACAGATTGAACCTGAACTAAACGTTTTAAAGATGGTTCTTTAATAAACTAAACTGGTATAAAGTTTGATGCTCGGTTGAACGAAAATGCTCTTAATTAGAAGTTATTATCTAAGTATCTATGACTTACAAATTATGTTCAGTCAGGAATATCAGGAACCGAAAACGCTTACTATTTCGTATTTTAACTTGATTATCGAAATTTGATATCACAAGCCTACTTGGTGTTTTAGCGTAGATTATGTACACTTGACTTAAGATTTGATTATGGTGAACACAATAAACTAAAGATTAACTATCGACGTCCTTTTTTCTGTTGAGATCAAATTTCAACTTATAAAATAAATTTGTCTCATTCTTAATTACTATTAATGATTATGTTGGTTAGTATTTTTATTAAATCGCATTGAACGTCCCACTGAAATTGATAAGGTCACATTAAATAATTTTAACCACAATCTACCACTATACGTTGTTATCACAGTTAATCTACATTGTTAATGAACTTAATATAATTGTGCATGCTCATGTACGCCCGTAGTTGGATCCAATGCATATAATTTACTGCCAAGTTAACAAAAATGACATGAAAATTGGATTGAAATCAGATTTTAAACCTACATTTTTAGTGGCCCGTTTGATCTGACTCCATTGAGATCGTACGAATGATTGTTATCGCTGATTCTCGTATATCATCGTCGACTTAAATCACGTTATCCAATAACGGAATTAAATAAGTCGAATAACGAGAATTGATTTGTGAATACATATATTTTGAATATGAAGCCAATGAAACAGCAAAGCAAAATGACACGCAGGGAGGATGGCTGGGAAGCCAACTCCATTTTAGTCGAGCGTTACTCAATATTTATAGTCAGACAAAAATAAACTACAAACATGTGATGAATATTATAATAACATGTAGACCAACTAGAGAAGAATTTAGGAGGCAATAACTTCAAAATCTGTCCAGCTATTGAGACTCTAGAAGCACAATTATAAGGAACCCATCTTTGTAGACAGCCTTTGAAAGTTTCAACAAAGGAAACAAGAAGATAATAGTCGACAACAGCAGAGAATGAAAGTTCACAGGTCGAATACACAGAAGCAAATAAGAAAGTGACGAGGAGCATTTGAAGCCGACAAGCGGAAATACGTACAAGATCTAGCAATGACAACAGAAAAAGTTGTAGGAAGAAATACGAGACGACTATGTGATACGACGAATAAACTAGTATGAAAATATTGTAAACTAGAGTGACCATTCAAGAATAAAGAAGACAAAGCAGTCACTGAGATTCAAGAAAAACTAAACAGGTGAGTGGAGCAATGTGAAGAGCTATTGAATAGACCAGTCTCAATGAACTCAACGGATTTCCAAGCAGCACACACAGAACACCTCTCCATAGACCATACTCAACGGTAATCGAAGAAATCTACAAGGCCGTCAGATAAATCAACAATGGATCAGACAACACACCAGCTAAACACTGCAGTTAGATACGATGGTAACTACAAAGATGTTTCACGTTTTCTCCATAAACATTTGGGAGGAAGAACAAGTACAAACAGACTGGGAAGACAGATAACTCATCAATATACCGATGAAAGCTGATCTTAGTAAGTGTACAAACTACAGAAATATCATACTACTCTCAGTGACAAGCAGAGTTTCCAACAGTGTTACTAAACCGAGTAAAAGATTTGGTAAGTTCAAAATCAACATGTTGAGTTTCGTGAGGTTCGGTCATGTTCTGTCCGAATCGCGACACTACTGCTCATTGTTGAACAATCAATCGAATGACACTCATTGCTGAACACCAGCCTCCTTGATTATTAGAAAATATTCTACAGCATGAATGGCAATAGCTTATGGAATCTCGTTCGACATCATGGAGTACGTGAGGAAATCGCCACCAGCATCCGGGATTCATACGAGTGACTGCACTTCAAGGTCATAGTACGTGGAGGACAGGTCATATGTAAATGACCATTAAGACCGAAGAATACTGTAGGATGCTAGTATTGAACGATAGATGTCTTTGAATCAATGCTCATGTATTTTCGAATCACCGAGTAAACGATGACTGGGTTGGGAATAGGGTCATGAGTAAGGTTGCTGAATCGATTGATGAGGAAGTAAATTTGCATTAGCCGAGGTAGTTGAGTCATTAGTAACTCATACCCGACAACCACCTACCTCGACGGGTGACATGGTCTGATGTGAGAGTATGATGGAAGAAAGCTAGGAGCGGTCAAATCCAAACATAACACCAAATCATGAAAATACTGACCATATGGATTGAGTCATTTTAACAAGTGTAGACTACTTGGTTGGGTCGCGCGTGATTATCGCAATTAGTGTTTGAGGGCTGTAAATGACAGGAAACAAAATCGTTTG